CCAGGTCTGACTCCCCTGGTGCGTGCTCTCCTGCCAAACCACACCTGGCACAGCCCTGGCACCAAGACACAGCCCTGCCGTGGCCTCAGCCCAGTGTCTGTCATTTTCATCCCCTCATGGATTCTGCTAATTCTGTTTACAAGAGACCACCTGTCCCTACAAAGCCAGGCCTGGGTTCATGCCTTGGGGTCCCCCACACCCCTGAGCGTCTAGACTGTACTCCGTGGCATCAGTTTCAGAGGGTTCAAGGCAGGTTAAAGAAATGTTTTTTCTCTCATCTCCACCAAACCATAAAGTGCAAATACGTGTCCTTTCAGTCCCAGGCTGTTTAGACTGCGGTCACAAATACAGCGTTATTTTAGGATTCCACCCACTTTTCTTATTTATAATTCTTGTCTTTTTTTAAGTCTCAGACCACGCAGGGCACTTGCTGGACAGACAGCATCTGTCCATTACCTACACGCGGGCTGTATCTACCCCTGACACTCACTAGGAGAGGAAACTGCTCACCAATAAACGAACGATCACATGCCATCCGTGAGGCTCTGGCTGTGCTAATAAACCAGGCAGGGCGCTCTCAGAACGCACAGGTATGTCAAGACAGTTCAATGACTTGTCAGTTGGTCAATTCGATGCCAAAATATACATTTAAAATAAAAAGCCAGGGAACACATGCAATACAAGGGAACACAGTCCTCACGGGGCCTCAGCTCCAAGGAAGTCACTCCCATGAAGGAGAGTTTTGCCACTGGACACCATCATCAGCGTCTGCTTCTGTGATGTCCCGGACAATTCCGCTGAGATTTTTTATCATTCTCTGAGATTCTAGAAAGCTATGCGATCCAGTTTCTTTTCTGAGAATACTCAACTTTGGGCCAAGAAGTCACAGCAGACAGGGAAAAGGCACCCAACTGCTGGCATATGAAAGGGCTGGTAGGCTTTAGGCCCCCCGGGGGCGTCCCAGGGGGCCCCCTGACCTTAAAGCCTGCAGACTGAGTCCAGGAAGAGGCAGATGTCTCGGTACAGGACTCCACCCACATTCCTGGTTGGGCAGGTCTGGGGTCCCCTGGGCCCTTGACTTCCTCCAGGCATTCCCCTGGGCCATTCTGAGCTAAGACTCTCCCACCTCCTACAACTCCATGCAACTCCTTGACGACTCCTTTCCAGCCACAGGCCCCTACAGACCTCCGGTCTCTAAGGCTGCTTCTGTGGGCTCCTCTCGGTCACACCTTGCAAGGAGCTTCCTCTGCAAAGTTGAACAGTGTTTTCCTACTATAATATACTACAATATCCAACATGTTTCTCTGATGCACCAAAGGACATTTTTTAAGTATTTGATTGGCAAACAGAGTTTAGGAAATAATGATAATGGTGCAGTAGAACTAGAAAAAGCAAGCTGGGATGACAGGAAGGTAAGATCCCTGAGACACACCCAATAATAAAGCAAAGGAAAATACACACAGGAAAGAAATTAATAAGTAAAAAATGTGGTCACTTTTTTTAAGGTCCAAAGTCCTGTCCTGGGCCCTGCCTGGTGACACAAGAGGTTAGGACGCAACCCTGCAAGCTGGCTGCAGTTACCTCAGGGCGAGTTCGAAACACGGTGGCCACAGAAGTGACCCCCAGGGTGCAGCAGACCTCCCCTGTCTCCCCGCTGCTCCCCTCAGCAGTGGACTTCATAGATCTGCCTGTTCTGCTCCCCGCTCTGTCTCTTGTCTCTGGTGAAGTCTCTCACCGCCCCCGCACCTCTGGCCTGTACCCCAGTTCTATATGCATCAATAAATCTTTAAAAAAAAAAATATCCTGCCCTGAAAATTGAAAATGAAATGAAATGATTATCTGGGAAACCATCTTCTGAGTGCACGGATGTTTTTAAATTCACGCATGAAAAACCTACAGAAAAAGAGCCCAGGGGAATTAAACTTGAATCCTGTGCCCTGGGCGGGCGGGAAAAGAGGGTCAGGCAGGTATCACGGGGAGACTCTATACAAGCAGCCATTTGAATTTGCTCCACAGAGCGAGAGCAAATGACCAGCTGCGCCCTTCAGCTCTCCCCACTGGCAAGGCCTGACTTGCTGGCCTCTGTTATGGGTGCAAATGGGTCTCCCACAAAGGTATGTGGATGCCCTGACCTCCAGCACCTCGGCCGGGGGCCCTCCCTGCAAACAGGCCCACGCCATGGAAGGACCCAGGTGAGGTGAGCTCCTGCCGCAGGCCAGCGGGCTCCGAGTCCCCTGTCAGAGAGGCCTCGGGGTGCCCAGGATCCCGGATTCCCAGGATTCTGAACTCCCAGGAGGGGATGAAATTCTTGGGCCTGGAGATACCAGCATGGGGCCCGTTGCTCTGGCAACCGAGACCCCTGCACAGACAGCAGTTGGCACTTGAGAAACCCAGCAAAGTCCACCGGCCGCCAGGCGCCAGGGCAGGCTGCGGGGAAGACTCACCTGCCACGTAGTCACCAAAGCCGATGGTGGTCAAGGTGATGACCACGAAGTAGATGGCGTCCAGGGCGCTCCAGCCCTCGATGTGCCTGAAGATGACGGCCGGCAGGGCCACGAACAGCACGCAGCCGAACAGCGTGAACATGATGGTGGAGATGACGCGGATCTTGGTCTGGCTGACGTTCCACTTCTGAGAGAGAGACGGACACTGTCACGGCCACGCCACACCGCGAAGCTCGTCTGCACTGCTGTCGCGAGGCAGCCCCCGACGACAGGATCTCGCTCCCTGACACTGTCACCCTCACTGGCTTTCCTCACAGAAACTGGCTGAAACATAAACAGGTGTGGGCCCTCCCTGGTGGCACAGCAGGGTAAAGCGCAGCCCTGAGAGGCTAAAGCCGCTGCCACATGAGTTCTATCCCCGCCCGCCCCGAGGGGACCCACAGGGCGCGGCAGACCTCTCCTGACCCGCCCGCTGCTCCCCTCAGCAGTGGACTTCGTCAGTCCACCTGTTCTGCTCCCCACTCTGTCTCTGGGGAAGCCTCTCACCTTCCTATACCCCAGGCCTATACCCCAGCTCTGCCTGCATCAATAAATAAATCTTAAAAAAAAAAAAAAGGAAGAAGAAAGCTGAGCCATGAGCCAAGTATTTACTATGGGTAAATGCTAAAATAAGCTCTGTTCACGGAAACGTTTCCTCGTGCGCCCAACCACTTCCCTGTGGCTGACCAAGCATGCAAGGCCAAGGCAGTGGACAGATGACCCAGTGGCCACAGGATAGGGCTTTGTTCTCTGAGCCTAGAGGAAGGCATATTAGTACTTACTGTTGATTTCTTCCTGTGACTACTTTATTTCTTTAAAGATTTAGTTGTTTATTTAAGCATGAAAGAACTGGGGTACAGGCCAGAGGTGCGGGTGGGGTGAGAGGACTCCCCAGAGACAGAGTGGGGAGCAGAACAGGCAGATCCACTGAAACCCACTGCTGAGGGGAGCAGCGGGGAGACAGGGGGGGTCTGCCGTGCCCTGGGGGTCACTCCCTGGCCGGGGATCGAACTTGTGCCGCAGTGGCTACGGACAGCTTCATAGTGCTGAGACCAGGGGCCCCCAGGGAGGCCTGACTGCGCCTAACTGATAACCCATATTCCATGAAGGGCATGTGAGGACAGAAATGTGGTGTATAAAGGGCTCGGTGCTCTCTCCTGCTTCAGCATCCCCTGTCTCAGAGGTGACGCAGGACCCATATTTTTCTCCATTCAGGAACCTCCACGGTCACACAGTAACAGCATGGACACACCCAGGTGTTTATCTCCAGCTCTCCACCTCAGGTTGGCCACCATCAGTTGGTAATCTCTGACTGTGACCGTCTACACACATCTCGCCCGATCAAAACCACAGCGTTTTGGAGCCTGACCTGGTCCGAGAGCTAAGGAGCCATGAGCCAGAGAGTGGGAAAGACAGGATGAAGTTTCTCTAGCCCGCCACACCTCCTTCTGCCTTGTAAGAGGGACATGAATTCACACTTGTTGGCTCTCTGAGCAGTGCTGAGGGATGAGCATAAATCGTGGCCCCGGAGAAGAACCGCCAGTGTGATCTGTGTCATGCGCTGACGAGGAATCAGCACGAGGAGTGTCCCCGGCACTCAGCAGACCCCAAGACTACGCAGGTGGACGAGTGGATGACGGACGCAGCAGGAACACCCTCCTGATGACTAGAATGGCAGGACACTTGGGCCCAGTGGTGGTGTAGGAGGTCTCAAATTATCACTGCAAAAACCTGAGCGAATGTCATATCCCATGGACGCTCAGAGCAGGTGCTTCTCAACATCTTGAGAAAATGCAAAGGCCAGGTTGCTTGTAGGTGAATCTATAAAGGCTACAATTCTGGGGGGCTTCCCCGATGGCCTAGGGGCAAGTCTCAGCCCCATCAGTGCTGCAGCCTGAGTTCGATCCCCGGGCAGGGAGTGACCCCCAGGGCGCAGTAGATGCCTCCTGGCTCCCCACTGTTCCCCTCGGCTGTGGGTTTCAGTGGATCTGCCTGTTCTGCTCCCCACTCTGTCCCTGGGGAGCCCTCTCATTCACCCTCCACCCCTGCATCTCTGGCCTATATCCCAAACTTCTGCAAATAATTAAGTAAATATTTAAAATAAGCAGAAAATAACAACAGGACTCTTGAAAAGCAGGATAGTGTAATACCAAAAATGGGTAAAAGTCCTATTTTGGAATAGCCCTGACTTAAAAGAACAGTGAAAATATTGGATTGCCGCCTTAGAACTGAAATCGGAGAGATCACTAATACTAAAAACCGGAGCTACCACTGGAATTGGAAAAGCAATACCCAATAGTTTTATTTCATCAGTAATGTTAAAATCACCTTGTTGGATTTTTTTGTGGAAAGAGAAAAAAAGTAGTAAATAAAATGCATCGATCACAGTAACAGAACATTTATAATTCTACCCCAGTGACAACCATTTTATTCGTCCATAATTTCTTACTACTATTTTTAATTAAAATTATTACCAAACCACTTTTTTTTAATCAAGGCAACACTGGTTGACAACACTCTATCACTAAGAGATATAAGACCCCAATTCCCTAGATGTATGTCACCCACCACACCCACCAAGACCCCCCGAGTCTACCCTTGAGGGAACCCACCCTCCACACCCCACTCTTCCACCTCTCCCTACAATAGCCTCAATTCCACCATCAGAGTTCTAGAATTTATTACTGCTTTGGTTCTGTCTGACCCTGTTTTGTTTCTTTATATTCCACATACAAGTGATATCATCCAGTATGTCTTTTTTCTGCACCCATGAACGTAATTCTTGGTTCTACTGAATGGCATCTCTTCTTAGGCAAGCGTCTGTCTACAGCACTACCGAGTTAAGTTACATATTAACCTTCATTAGAATTGATAGTTCTGTTCCCTCCACAGAGGACGCTCAGTTACCTAAGTTTATGCCACTGCAAAGACAGCATGGTCAGGACACTGAATCTAGAGCTCAAACCTGTCAGACAGCTGTTTTCTTTCTGCTCATCTTTTGGGTTCATTTGTTCACTCATAAAAAAATTAATTCAGTGTCACAGGCTACCAGAGGCACATATAAACTGTGATGAAAGCCCTAAAAATGATGTCTCACTGGGCCTGAAATGACAGAAGTCATATTATTTTAAAAGAAAATCATACTCACTATAAACGTATCTTCCACTTTTGCGATGCCTTTTCCAAAAATGGTCCCTAGTTGGTCTCCAACTCCAGCCAACAAAAAACCAAAGAGGGGGATCCCCAGTAAGGCATAGATGATACAGAATATTTTCCCCCCTTCCGTGCGAGGTGAGATGTTTCCAAATCCTATATATATAAAAAAAACAATCCAGGAGTTAAAACAAGTTACTTTAAGGTGAGCTCAAAAATCCCCAACTATTACATCAATTGCAACTCTCAACTGGTTACGAACCCCTTGTATAAGATAAACTTGCCGTGTAACTTAACATAGAATAGTCCAATAAGCAAATATTTCAAGGGTCTACGAAGCAGAGCTGATGCTCCCAGGTCAAGCTTGCCACGGAAGGGCCCCCCACAGATCCACGTCTTCTGCCCACTCGTCGGTGACGTGACACAAGGTCCTGTTGATGGCGCTGACGCCAGCGAACGAACGGGCAGCTGCTGTTTCACGGTAAATTGCGTTTATCCCGAAGCCACGAAGAATGATTTGAACATGCCTGTGTCTTCAAAGTGCATGTGGACTTCCAGAAGCGACGAGCATTCTTCGGTAGGAGTGGACCGTGGCCTTGCATTTGTGGGGTGCAGCCTCGCCCACTCGCTTGGCCCCAGCTGAGGGGGAGCAGCCTCCCGCCAGGCTCCCCAGGCAGCAAAGTAGCATCAATTCCTGTGCAGAAGGTGCCGGTGGGTTCAGAGCTACCTGCTGAATGTGTGTGTCTGAGTGAATGTGTGAGTGTGTGTGTGTCTGAGTGGGTGTGAGCGTGTGTGTGTGTGTGTGTGTGTGAGTGTGAGGGGGGGCAGGCAGGGAGAGGACTCTCCTGCAGCCCCCCAGGCTTCTATGACATGAGGTTTCTGTGTATTAATTCAGCATTTATCCCGTACAGTCTTACTTCTACCAGAGAGAAACTAAGTGTGTGAATTTAACAAAGTCTTTTTTTTTTAAAGATTTATTTATTTGTGCATACAGAACTGGGGTACAGGCCAGAGGCGCAGGGGCGGTGAGAGGCTTCACCAGAGACAGAGTGGGGAGCAGAACAGGCAGATCAACGAAGTCCACTGCTGAGGGGAGCAGCGGGCGGGTCAGGAGAGGTCTGCCGCGCCATGTGGTCACCTCCGGGGCAGGTGGGAATCGAACTCATGCGGAAGCGGCTTTAGATTCTCAGTGCTGTGCTCTAACCTGCTGCGCCACCAGGGAGGGCCTTAACAACGTCTTTTGAGACATGAAAACACTGACGAGCTAATGAAACTCCACAGGTTCATCGTGAAATATGCTCACAGCAGAGTGTTAAAGTCTAGCGTTGGCTGATGGAGGGATATCAGTCAGGACTGAACCCACGCATGTCAGCAGGGCTATCCCGCCTTTCTGGGGAACACCCTCCCCCCACTGGGTGTGAGGCAACAGGACCCTGCTCTGGCATCTATTTAAGGGGGACACTGTAGTTATTAACCACTTCGTTGGGTTGTAAACTAAGAAAAGGTGCTCAGGGCTCTGTGTTCGTCTCCACAGGTTCCCTAACTCCTAGAACACAGCTCTAGGGCAATGGCCTCCCTGTCAGAGGAGCGGCAGAAACTCTAAAATGGTTAAACTTGTTAGTGGTCCAGCGAGCGGCATCGAGGAAGGTCCAGATGCCCAGTAACTGGTCTCCCAGAAGCCTCTAGATCATGTCCCAGAAGCCCTCACTGCCGCTGCGGGAGCCCGCGTCTGGGCCCGGGTGTGCACACTGTTACACGCACCAGTACTCCAGGAGTCTACAATCCCCAGCACCCACGGTCCCAAGTGCCTTCTGCGTGACCACGATCAAGGCCACAGGAGGCCGATGGCACAGAAAGCCTCACTCGCCCTACACCTGACAAGCGGCCGAGTTTCACACAAAAAAATTCCCTTCCACAGAAAAAGGACAAGGACAAAACTCTTTGACCACAAGCCACCTTCTGGAAACCCGTGTGCTTCCCGCCTTCGGTGGAGCAGCATATACATACTCCAGGCTGGAGAGGCTACGGGGAGCCCACAAAAATCTTGCCTCTCTTAGCCATTTTTCAAAGCAGCATGGCAGTTTAGTACATGGACTGACCATGCCGATGATAAAAGCAGCAGCGGGTTGAAACTGCACTTGAAGAGACCCTTCCAGAGTTAAACACGGCCCCCCAAAATCCTGACTGAAATCCTAAGCAGCTGGACCCAGGTGGGCCAGGTGAATTAAACCACATGCCAGCTGGACAGGGGCATCTTGCCTGGACAGGAGAACACGCAGCTGTTAGGAGCTGAAGACCGTCTTGTTTTAACAACCCACCTGCTGCATCTTACAGACCGTCTACCCACCACATGCTGATGGTCCCGGCGCCACCCCGACAAGGTGCCAGGTGTGCGGAGAAAGGGCTGTCGCTTTAAATTCATGTAGTACCACCACTTCCAAGTTGGGGCGCATCAGAAGGCCCATATGTGCAGATGGTCAAATCCCTGCCCCCACACCCCCAGACTGAGGTCTCATCAACATGCTGAACGCACACCCCTGTGTGGAGATTCGAGTGCTAATGAGGCGTGTGATGGATGAAGAAGCAGGGCCCCACCTGTCAGGGCCCCAAACCACTCCTGTGTTCACCCCACAGCCAAGTGCCATGAAAAGCCCAGAGCCAGTCTGGAAACACTTCTCAATGCTGCTTCCTCTCTCTGAGCTCAAGTCTAATAAAGCCGTGTCCAGATGGTATCAGTCTTGCCTTCTTGTTAAGTTATTTCCCAAGGAGCCAGAACCTCTCCAAGAGGCCCAGAGGTCTATACTCTGTTAGCAAAACCTATTAAGAGAACATTTAGATAAGAAAAAACCTGCACACGAGTCTCTATTTTCTGATCAATTCTAGATGATAAAGTACCAAGCTATACATAGGGAAAAAACAAATAGCAATGTCCCTAGAGCACTCAGGAGGGTTTAGTGCTGCTCGGTGAAATATTATTCACTAGGACACTATGCTCATTACCGAGCTAGACACCGAGGACTGAGGCGACTGTTTAACAAAATTCCAAATTAACGCAATCAACTCATTTCGCTATCGGCCAGCTTTTCTGTAAACATGCATGAAGGCTCACGTGTGGACAAGAGACATTCCAGCAAAGCCAAGGTGGAAACGTGGGTGTGCGAAACATCCCCATTGCCACCATGAAATTAAGAAGCCAGACTGAGGCTTCCCCCTGGTGATGCAAAGGGTTAACGCACCGCAATAAGATGCTCTCCAAAGCCACTGCAGCAGGAGTTCAATCTCCAGCCAGGGAGCTGACCCACATGGCGTGGCAGACCTCTCCAGACCCACCCGCTGCTCCCTCAGCAGTGTACTTTGTCAACCTGCAACTCATTGGTTTTCTGGAAAAAACAATCATTGCAAAAACTTTGACTTTCTAGCTTCTGTACAGGATTTATGCTGCTGAGTCCTTGACAATGCCAGCATCAACCTTCTGTACTCCTCACACACATTTCCCTCACAACTCTCCTCACACCTTCTTGTCCTTTCAATAACCACAGCATTTTCTCTCTCCGTTACTGGGTTAATGGTCACTCCAACATGCTTCTGTCCCACTTCTTGATAAACTTCTTAGGAAAAGAGACTCTACTGTGTGGCTTTGCCCACAGCGGATGTTCAAAAAAACAGGTTGAGTTGGAAACAACTGTCTATAGGTTTTTATTAATACTTCAGAGTGTCATTAAATAGACATTCTCAGCTCTAAACACTTCTACAATGCTAGTATTTTTGTACACTTTCACATTTATTCAGAAGTGACAAGAAAAGCAAAGTTGTTGGACTGTGCAAACTGTATTCAAAAATTCACCCCTATGGCCCTCCCTGGTGGCGCAGCGGGTTAAAGCACAGCACTAAGAAGCTAAAGCCACTTCCGCATGAGTTCGATTCCCACCTGCCCCGGAGGTGACCACAGGGCGCGGCAGACCTCTCCTGACCCGCCCGCTGCTCCCCTCAGCAGTGGACTTGGTCGATCTGCTGTTCTGCTCTCCACTCTGTCTCTGGTGAAGCCTCTCCCTGCCCCTGAGCCTCTGGCCTGTACCCCAGTTCTGTATGCACAAATAAATAAATCTTTAAAAGTAAAATAAATAAATAATTTGCAGTCTCCTAGACACACAAGGACGCAAATGTTGTATCCTTCCAGATTTGTACTGGGCGTTGCAGTAAAAAGCAGAGGCTGGGTAAGAAAGAACGTAGATTCAGAAGACGCTCAACCTAAGAGGAAGAGCACGTTTTCCTGAGGTCACAGTTAAACGACAACCCCACTTGCCGTCTTTTAAAAAAAGCCAAAGTCACAGCTTGGCCAGACAGTAAAGAGCCCAATCAAGCACTGAGGAAGGAAAATGGGCCCAGAAGAACAGGGTGTTCATCAAGAGACATTAAACAGAGTCTTCCTAGAAAGATGAGCGCGTGGGTCTCCCTGGGGGCCTACGGTTTGACCCTCAGCTGTGTCACCCCCACGGCCTGAGTTCAATCCCCGGCCCCGGAGGTGACCCCCAGGGTGCAGCAGACCTCTCCTGTCTCCCCTCAGCAGTGGATTTCAGTGGATCTGTCTCTTCTGTGCCCCTCTCTGTCTCTGGGGAGTCCTCTCACCACCCCCCACTAAATCTGGCCCCTGTACCTCAGCTCTTTTATGCATAAAAAAAAGGTCAAAGGTCTTTCACCTTCAAAGTTAGCCACTGTTTTTGTCAGTCACTGGTGTTAAACCAAGGTCATTGAACACAATCATATGGGAGATTTCTACCCAAAAAACGCCCCGGAACCCCTGGTCTTCCCTGGGGAAGGGACGGGAGACATGTGTCTGTATTTTGGAAATCCAGAAATGGCTCTGAATTCCCGCTCTCTGGCAGAGCTGGCGGGCGGTCTTGGGCAGCATGGGGCGGTGAGGGGGCTTTGAGAAAACAGAATGGAAAACAGGAGGTGACACGAGCCACCCAGAGGCCTGGAGCTCAGCCTGGATGCGACCAGGACTTTAACAGCCTTCTACGGCTGTGACATTCACTACTGTCACTCCCAACCATAAAAAATTGGCCTACATGGGCCCTCCCTGGTGGCACAGTGAGTTAAAGCACAGCACTAAGAAGCTAAAGCCACTTCCGCATGAGTTCGATCCCCGCCTGCCC